TCCAAGCTCAGGTCTTTCTCTGATGAGAGAGAAAGTAGGTTTAATATATGATTCAATTTTGTCCCTAAAATAGGGAAATATCTCCCTATTTATAAGGTCGTTGGAAAGTGTGCCCCTATCTAGGTCACTTGACCTAGATTTTAGTGGGCTGCATCGTTTTACGGCGCTTCTTGCAATTTGGGCCCTTAAAGGCCGCCATTTAAGGATCTTATCTGAAGGGGCCATGTGTCAAGAGGGCATTGGGCCACTTGGGCCATCCTGAACTTGCCACGTGGCCTCCTCTCATTGGCCACATGTCTAGGGTATTTTTACCCTAAACATTTGCCCCTCACAGGGGTCACGTGCATGTCACGTGACGCCTGTGACACGTGTCCACCTATCACGGATAGTAAAATTTAAAATTCAAATGGGGATGCCCCCGTTTTCACCTTCTATAAATAGAAGTTTACCCCCCCCCCTTTTCTGTCACTTCACTTTCATTTGACTTTTCTAGAGAGAGAAAAAGGAGAGTTTTAGAGAGATATTCTCTGCTTCCGTCTGCATCAGGGTTTTCAGAATTCCCGCGTGCTAACCTTGCAAAACCTGGTCAGCGTCTGTAGCCGTTTTCAGATTTTTCAGAGTTAAAAGCAAGGTAACCGCCTGCTCCATTTTAAGTTTTTCTTTTTCAACTTGTATACATTCTTATTTTCTCCTGTATACATAGTTTTAGAAATAAAATGAGTTCCCAATCCACACACTCGGCACTGCCTAGGACACTCAGCCGGTCTCCCGGAAAGGTTGAGTCTAGAACAGGGGGTGCTTTTTCTAGATTATCGAAACTGCTGTGCTCATCTCCAAATTCCTCCCTCTCTGTGTCTGTGTGCAGGACACAATGGCAAGAGTTAAATAGAAGGCCAGGACATCTAAGAGTCGGTGCACTATGGAAGTGCCCGCCGACAAGGTTGTTCCGGATGGGGAACATGATGATTTGGGGGAGAGCGGCAATTCTGATGACGAGGCTCCCTCTTCTTCCGGGAGCTCTAGCTTATGGGAGGTAGGCGGTGAAGAAGCCGCCTCCTCTAATGGATCCAGGGGTAATAAGGCCGATGAAAGATCGAGGGCCAAAACTTCTGGCTCTAATCAGGATAATTTTGCAGGTGACTATCAACAGCCGGCGAAAGTTGCTAACAACCCCAACCCGAAAAAGATTAGGATGCTTCCGGGTGACATAGCCCTCTTGAAGATTGGCTTCAGGGCTTTCAAGGAGAAGCACCCCTTTGGAAAGGGGTGGGATATTATCGTCCCGCCTACTGATGTGGTGATGGCGTGGGACGATAAGATTGAGAATGCAGACAACTATTTTGTCTGCTACGAGGGGGTTATAAAAGTCGGCCCCCAGTTCTACCTCCATACCGTGATTAGGAAAATCCTAAAGGGGTATGATATGGGAGTTTGGCATCTCACCCGCAACTCATGGGTGAACATCTTGAGCTACATTGCCGGCTGCGAGCTCCAGAACTTAGCTCCCAGCTTCTCCGCCTTCGCTCAAAAGCTTTACTTGAGCAGGGCACCATGCGCTCATGGGGCATGGTACACTCTTTCCACCTTACCCTAGTATTTAACGAGTTTGGACAAGGTGTCCAAATGGACAGGGTTGAAAGACAAGTTTTACTTAATTTCTTCACCAACTCTAAGACACAACCGGACACTGCGCCGGTAAAACCAGGAACCGATTCTTTTGGGCAGGACATGCCCCCTCCCGACGCTCTCTACTAGGGCTCGGGAGCAAATAATGGAGCCGGGTTTCTTTGAAACCACTACTAAGCCCATGGGGGATGGGTCTCACATTATTATTCCAAAAAACTGGATCCCCCACCCGGACTACTTCAAGGACGAATGCTTTCTGTCCGCTTGTGGCTTAAGTCCCATGTTTCCCAAGGGTAGATCCACTTGCATCCGACATTTCTGCAGTTTTTATTCTGTACTACAATCTTTTCATGATTTTTTCTAACTTTTATTTTTTTCTTGCATCCGACGCCTTGAAAATGGTTGACCCAACAAAAACTCTGGCTAAGTCAGCAGCGTTGCTGCGCAAAAAAGCTTCTCTTGCAAACAAGGCAGCCATTGAGACTAAAGATGCCATGAAAGGCGGGCTAAGGCCATTGACTTTAGTTTTTTTTTACAAAGGATTTTCGCCAGTTGGGTATGTTTAACTCTTAATTTGCAGGACTCTGTTAAACACGTTCCACGCTCCTTCTTCAAGCTTTTCAAAAGGCAAGGAGAGGATCTAGAAAAGGCCCCGGCTGCCAGGAGGGAACCCTCCCAAGTCAATTTCTACTACCAAAACCAATTGACACACGACCGGTGGAAAATCGCCTTCTGCAATGAAAATTCTGAGCGAAAACTCAGAACGCCCGCAGAAGAATGCACCGGATGCCTCTACGGCATCGAAGGGTGGACTGCCACATAATGTTGCAGCCGGTGCGGCAACAACTGGGGAGGAGATTCCTACGCCCCATCCGGATACCCAAGGTAAGGACAAGATTGAAATACCTTGGCCACTTGATTTCATGAGAGTCAAGACTAAGGTAGTCCCCACCGAGCGTTCAGTCAGCAGCCGGAAACGGATGAAAGCCAACTATGTTGCTTCCTTCTCACTAAGTACTTCTACTTCTTTTGGTGCAGATCTTACATCCGACAAGCCAGATCTTGTTGGCTTCGCCAAACGGATGGTGAGGACCCTCACCCGGTCGGAGAAAAATTCCATACCTGATCTGCAGGTAGTGAACTTTGACCGGATAATGGGTTAACTAGCTGAGGTAAAGAATCCTCAACTTAATTTTGATATTTTTTTGATTTGTACTAAGTATGTCATAATCCGGCTGCTCTTTTCTTAGGTAATGCTGAGGGTAGACGGGCTCCGAGGCCCCTTCAGGTGGAAGCAAGAAGAGGTAAATGACGCCAAACGGAGGGCCCTTGAAAACCTCAACTCTGCTGAATATGCTAATTATATGTGTGATTTAGAGATTAATGTAGTAGATTTGAAACAAGAGGTGCTGATCCGGAGCTTGACGGCTGCAAATGATGAAGCCACCAGTCGGGCTAATCACCTTGAGCAAAAACTAAAGGATGCACAATCTAAACTCAAGGAATTAGAGGATGCTGACAAGGAGAACACCAAACTCCAGGCAGATGTCTCCCTACTAGGGGGTGGAGATCGTTAATCTGCGGAACAAGCAGTCATATGGGATTGCCAAGGAGTAGAAGCGGCTGACGGAAGAGAATGAGCGGGACAACGCAGCCCGCCTGAAGATCACTTGGGGTCTCCTCTATCCGGATATAGACTTTGAAGTCTATAAACTTAGGTATGATTATGCCACTAAGGTGTATGATGCCCAAGTGCTAGGAGAGGCAGCTCCGCCTCGCTTCAAGGATTGGGCTGCAGAGTTGGGATATGAAGTCTTAGATAATGAGGAGTCGGCGGAGGAAGAGAAAAATGAAGGCAACCTGCCTCAAGTGGCTGTTGGCCAATCAGAAGCCCTCCCAACCGGCTAGGACCAGCCGGAGCAGCAACTTCCCCCTCAGCGTTGAGTCAGCCTCCCCAAATTCAGCAGCAGTATGCCAACTTCTTTTCTTTGCCGGCTTGTATGCCGAGTAATGTTGTATTTTTGCCAACTATGGAGTTGGGTAAACAATTTATTTCTTTTACTTCTTCACCGGATGTTATTCTGGTTAAAAATTATTCTGGCCTTTGTGCCATTTAAAATATTAATGAAATTATTCGACTCAGTCTATTATTTATATATATATATATTTATGTTTAAATTTTTTCGGTTTGAATTTGCGTATATACTACAATTCTTTAATATTTTACCTAACTTACAAAAACATGTGGCAATTTGTAATCCGGCTACTCTTACCCCTGGATGGCTGTGCGGTTGGTTTTATTCCGAATAGATTGATTGCCTTGAAAAAATTTGATCCTTGGAGAAGTATGATGTGTTTTTCTAGCCTCTTACACAGGCGGTAATATTCCGTCCGAGATTATTTCATAGCCATTACCCAAACTCTTTTGCCCAATTGGGAGAGAGAGTGTAGGTTTGGAGAAAATAATCTAAGTGAAAACTTCAGTCGGTAACCGACTGATGCCTCAAGGCATCCGGTATTCGAAAACTTAATCGTTCTCGTAGATTATTCTGGTCAGACGATTATGAGTTGACCAACTTGGTCGTTCAATCTTTTTCGTCTGCATAGGTACGTAGAACTGATGACGAGTCTGCTCTCTACGACGATTGCACCCAGAGGGGTGTCGCCGGACGCCATCGTCCATGTTGGGTCAGGCGGTTTTTTAAAATAAGCAACCATCCGGCCATATTCCTTTAATCTTGTTTGAGATCGGTTGTATAGCCACTAAGTGTTTTTGTGCTTAGTTTTTTCAATCTGGCCATTGGCCACGTGTTATTATATCATTGAATTTACACTAAATGTTGAATTTAGTTGGTTAAACAATTAGTCCGTCTGAGTATTACTTTAGGCGTTGTTCGAAGTGCGCCTACGTTAAAGCATGTGTGAATATGCTTGGCACTCATAGGAAGTGGGAATTGACATTACGATTAGGGACAACGATTAGGGACAAATAAACACTAGTGGAAAAAATCTTATTTGTAACAAGCTATTCGTAACGGACATATGATTTTTCGTTATAATTAAGTCATTCGTAACGGGCAAATACAATGTCCGTTACAAATAAGTTGTGAATTGGGCAGGAAAAGGGTTATTCGTACCGGACAAATTAGTGCCCGTTACGAATAAGTGGTTATTCGTAACGGACAGATTGGTGCCCGTTACGAATAAGTTGTTATTTGTAACAGGCATTATTCTGCCCCTTACGATTAACTAACTAATCGTAACCAACAAATATTGCCCGTTACAAATAGAAAAGTCAACAGAATTTTGACCTTGTTATTTGTAACTAACATGGGGGTGTCCGTTACGAATAAGGTTTTAAAGTAAGCCCTAAATTTTTACTTTCCCCTTTCTCACTCCCCTCTGTAAAAAAATTTCCACTTTCTCTCTCCAATATTGAAGCAGCTCCCGCGCGCAAGGTCGTCGTCCTCACCTCCCTCAACTCCATTGAAGGAGCTCCAAGCTCAGTTCAATCTTTTGCTCCTCTCATTCTCACTCTTCTCCTCCATTGAAGCGCACTCCGAGTTCTCCATTATTGAAGCGCACTCCGAGTTCTCCATTATTGAAGCGCACTCCGAGTTCTCCATTAAAGGGCTTTTTGAGTTCTCCATTGAAGCGCTATCTAAGTTCTCCATTGAAGCGCTCATAGTTCTCCATTAAAGCGTACTCTTTCTCTCTCCTCCCCCAATTTCGTAACCCTTGTTTTAGTTTGCTTAATTGCAATTACTTAATTATAGGTTTTATTTTTTTTCCCCAAATTAATTGATTGATTTTACTATTTTCCATTTGCTTAATTGCAATTACTTAATTATAGGTTTTATTTTTTTCCCCAAATTATGCTTCTCTGATTGGTGGGTGGTGTTTGCGTGGGTTTGGTTGGAGGTGAGGTGGTGAATTGGTTGATGATTGTTGTTGTTGCGAGTGGAAACAGGGGAAGGGCGTGGTTCAGGTGGTTGCGGTTTTGTGTGGTGGTGGTAGAATAGGGGAGAATTGCGGTTATTGGTGTTGGTGGGCTGATTGGAGTTGCGGCTGGCAGTTGGTGAATTGGGGGAAAGCAGTGGTGGACTGGTGGTTTGCGTGGTGGTGGTAGTGGCTGCTGTTAAAGGTGGCTGAAGGTGGAGGTTGGTGATTTGAGTGGCTGAAGGTGGTGGTTGGTGATTTGAGTGGCTGAAGGTTGTGGTTTGCGGCTGTTGTGGTTGAGTGTGGTGGAGATGGAAGCAGGGGAGATGTGTTTTGGTTGTGTTGGTGTGTAGGGTAAGGTGAAGTGTGGTGAAGGTTTAGGGGCAGCAGCTTGTAAGACATTTTGTTGAACTTGATTGACTCGGGTCCCGAACTTCCAATGCAAACCATTTGACTTTGAAACATAAGGTTCTGGATGGGTGGTAAGTTTCAGTCTTAGAAACCTTTAGTTGACCTTTCTTCTTTTACCCCTTCTTAACTGTGTGATAATCTGAATTCATTGGAGCAGTGGCTCGCACTTGACACACAGTCGAAGAAGCTTCTTGTTGAAACCACTCCAAATCAGGTGAATGCCCAGAGGCCCCAGATTGTTTTCTTTAATTAATAGGAGCAAAGCTTGAAATTTCTTGTGTTTCTAACGTGATGTTCTTAGAAGGAAATTCCTTTGTACTCAAATTAAGACAGAGTTATACTGTGATAGTATCCTCTTTCATTTGCATGTTGGCTGTTGGGTTTTCTAGTCTGTATGGTTGTGAATTTGTGATCACATTTTCTTAACTAGTGATGATTTATGAGTGTGTTATCATTTCCGCGTATGTAGGTTTAAAGGAAGTTGTTCAAACAGACAAGGCTCCTGCGGCATTGGGACCATATTCTCAAGCCATTAAAGCAAACAACATGCTCTTTGTATCTGGTGTTTTGGGTCTTGTGCCTGAGGTTTGAGTTTCAAATCTGATTATTTCCTGCTAATTTTGTCAGTTTGTGCTCTTGTAATTGTTCTTGCTTACTAATGTAAACAATACCTGTTTGAATGCAGACGGGAAATTTTGTATCAGAAAATGTGGAGGAACAAACTGAGCAGGTAATGAAAATTTTTGCAAACTGACACGGTAACTTAAAGATTTGTTATAGCTCTACTATTAGGAAATCATTCTTTTGTACAAGTATGCTGGGGGTCTAAAAGTCTTGTAATTGTGAAGGACCCGTGATGACTCAATCACTGGACAGTAGATGGACGGAATGACGGATTTATGAGTGTAATTATATATTTATATACATTTAATAAAGGAAGTTTTGCCTTGACGAGCTTGTTAATGCATCTCCTTTTTCGCTGCTAACTACTCTACTTGTGCAGCATTCTTTTGGTTAGGATGGGAGACTGGGAGGTGGGGTACTGTTTGCCAAAGAAAAGTTCTTTAAACTATCTTGTGCTGATAATATATGCTTAGTAAAGGCATATCTCAATGCTCTACAACGGGTCATTTGCTTATTCCTATTAATCAATATTAGCTAAGACAAATATGATGCTCAATGAGTCAAACTGTCAAAGTGCCCATATTAAATTCGCTTCAGTGGCTGAGTAGTATCAATTTATCAAATGCTTGTCACTTGTCTGCATTGTAAACCCAAATTTTGTTTTTCTGTGCTCAATGAAATGCCTAAAACTGTAGCTAACTGCTGGTTCAAAAAATACTGCTTTTGATGTGAATAAGTTGGTTGGCTTTCATTTGCCATGAAGATAAACATGTTCCTTTTACAAACTGTAGTTTGATGTATGCAAGTGAGCTATTTGCAAATTGCCAATTATTTGCCAAACATGCATTTAGATTATCATTTTGAATGAACTTTTAGGCATTCTACAATTATTGTAGACCTCTAGTGTTCTTGCTTCCAACACAGTTTTGAAGCAAGAACACTAGAGGTCCCTTAGACAATTTTGAAGCGTTTTTGGCTCTATAAGCTCCCAAGAGTGAGATAATGGTCAATTTTCATTGATTTCAATTCATAGAAACCAAAATATAAGGTAATTAAGGATGTTAAGTATTATATTGTGTTAATTTGAACAAATACTTGAAATATGGGAAAGGTAGAAGTCCCTTAGGCAATTTTGAATCCTTTTTGGCTCTATACGCTCCTAGGAGTGAGATAGTGGTCAATTTTCATTGATTTCAATTCATAGAAACCAAAAAATAAGATAATTAAGGATTTTATGTGTTACATTGTGTTAATTTGAACAAATACTTGAAAGATGGGAAAGATAGAAGTCCTTTAGCACAATTTTGAAGCCTTTTTGGCTCTATACGCTCCCAAAAGTGAGTAAATGTTAACTTTTTATTGATTTCAACTCATAGAAATCAAAATATAAGTCAATTAAGGATGTTATGTGTTTTGTTTCTATATTATGAGTTTTATTTCTATAATTTGGTTCATCAGATTTATTCTAATGATTGTTTTTCTTATGGATTGTTTTTATTTAACCTCTTTCATATGTTTTTTTTTTCAATAGGATTTTTGTCCAAGGACCGCCCCGTATGATGTCGACGACTTGAATGTGGTTCGAGAACAATGGGTGCAATACTTTAGAAGTAAATATTTATTGAATGCATAACTATTAGCTTAGGTAGAACAACGCAATATTTTTAGTGTTGTTGTATATGTTGGATAAATTTATACAAGTTTTTATTTGTAATATGTTACTATTTCAGTTTTTATATTACGTCGTATTAATTTTTACGAAAGATTGTTCGGTATAATTGCTTATTCACAAGAACAGGTATATTATAACAGGTTTTAATTAATATATATTAATTATATATAAATACATGTTGTCGAAATTAAATAAAACGAAAATTTAATTTAATAATTATTTGTAACGGGCAGCAAAATTGTCAGTTACAAATAACCAGTTATTTGTAACGCGCACTTTTGTTGCCCGTTACAAATAAGTGTTAAATTATATACAATAAAACTCTATTCGTAACGGACATTTAAGATGTCAGTTACGAATAATCACTTATTCGTAACGGGCGTTTTAGGTGCCCGTTACGAATAAGGACTTATTTTAATACAAAAAAAAATTTATTCGTAACTGACATTTCAGATGTCCGTTACGAATAACCCATTATTCGTAACTGACATTTTAGATGTCCGTTACGAAGAGTTATTCGTAACGGACATCTAAAATATCAGTTACGAATAATGGGTTATTCGTAACGGACATCTGAAATGTCAGTTACGAATAATGAGTTATTCGTAACGGACATTTGAAATGTCCGTTACGAATAACTCATTATTCGTAACGGACAGTGCCCGTTACGAATAACAATGGCCATCCGTAACGGCCGCATACGTAACGGACGCTGCCCATTACGGATGGCCCCTTTTTGCCCGTCACGGATGAGGATTTTTTCACTATTGAAAGTAGGGAGTCGCCAACAAGTTTTTAAGGAACTTGTAAACCGTTCACGGATCATAAAAGGCAACCACGATAAAGGGACAACGATAGGCAACAACGGTTGACCCGTGAAAGTTACACCCCATTCATAATCCATGAGATTACTAACTCCATATGGTTCAGAACCACGAAAGGAGGATCGGGGAAGATGGTACGAAGTGAGTCATGGAGCCACATTCGCCAGTATTGGCCTCTACTCGATTCTTATAGTGAAAAGGGATTCCAGCGATCTCAAAGGCATGCAAACAAAGATTCAATTTGCTCCAAACTATTATTATGCTAAATTGGTTTAATATTAATGCAACACATAATTCTAAAATATTGTGATCACTTGATTAAACAACAAGATTAAAAAGGAACCTAAACCGGTTGTCCAAATTATCTTTTTAGGCGTGATTTTCAATTACATATTCCCTTTAACATGCAATATGGTGATCAAAATAATAATAGAAAAAGTATGGTACTAATAATAAAATAACCTAATCATGATACTAGCAATTTAACAATAATAGCGTTAGTAAAATCAAATAATAAAATAACCTAATCATGATACTAGCAATAAGAAAATAAAATTAGAGTAATTAAATTAATTAATTACTCACATTTTGCGCGTTCCTTTAAATTACTACATCATGAATAAACTGTTAGTAACTTCAATAAAAAAAATAAATCAAATTGAAACAATTAAATTAAATAAAAAGTAGAGTTGATTTCGTCCAAACCCTCAGTTAATTCTACCTTTCACGCCTTGGTTTAAGTATAGAACTTCAGGTAAAGTATGGACTCCTTGGAGTGCTTAAAAGAAGAAATAGTAAAAGAATGGGGAGGCTAGTGTTTAGGCTAAAGAGGGAGAAAAGAATGATTTGATGATTAAGCTTGTTGATTATTGATAAAGGGGTGATATGACCTCTATTTATAGAGAAAAAAAGAAAGGTCGAAGAATTAAGATAAGATCCGAATTAAATCGGAATAAAACTCGATACACTGCAGTTTTTGTTTTTATCATATCTATTGATTCAGAAATCGGAATAAGATGAATAAGATATGGTTGGAAAGCTCTTGAAGTTGACTTTCTAACCCAATTAGAATCAGATTAAAATATTTTTAGTATAAAAGATATGGCCGAAATAGTGAGACGATGTCAGTTTTGGATTTAGTTTGACATTTTCTTCTTATCTTTTCCGTTATAGCTCGGAATCGATATTATAATATACCATTGGAAAGATAATTTCAAGGGCTATCCAAACATATAAAATTTGGATAAAAACTATAAGACACGAAAATAATATCTGTCTATCTTTGAACGTCTTTCAATTCGGACATAAATAGGATTTAAAAAAAAAAGGAGTTTTATTCAATTTCAAACTATTTAATTTTATCTTTTCAAAAAGGATAATTAAGATCTTTTAGAAACTTATAGAAGCTTCTAATTAATCCTAATTGGTTTAGGATTGGGATTAAATCATTTGGACCCTCCACATGATCATTGGGTCGTAGGTAAGGTGGGCTTAGGTTCGGTTTGGGCTCGGTTTAATATTTTGGCCATCACTTTTCGTTATAACTCGGATTTGGGATTATAATATATCGTTGGAAATCTCTTTTCAAGCCCCATCCAACTATTTAATCATTGGACCCATATTATGGACCAAAATAAATTGGATTAAACGTTTTTATAAAAAGGACACGAAATGAATGATTTTAAAGGACATGAAATGAATTATTTTGGGTTTAAAGGCACGAAAAGAGGAAAATAAGTTATGGTTTGGGGAAATGGGCTTGGAATTGGGTTGGTTTATGAAATGGAAATATGGATTTAAGCACTTTAAAAATTAAATACTTAACCCGACCAATAATTGCGGTGAAAGGTTGTTCATCATCGGGTTTGGTTTTGGGGAGACATTTTTAGGTGTCTACAGAAGCCCCCACTTTGACTGAGTTTGTAGAAACATCAGTTTCGAAAACGATAGTCAAAGTAGTCGATAGGGACGGAGAATGATTTAAGACGTTCTGTGATCTTATATCATTCTGTATACGTCGATACCTGCAGAAAAATGTTATTTCCACAGATAAAAGAGTAAAGGGATAGAACGCTTATCTGACACCAGTGTATCGGTGACAAATGAGTTTGGTATTTTCCTATGCTTGAAGGAATCCGCCGGATGACGTTTGTTGAAATGCTTTTCATGCTTTTCATGCTTGAGGAAAGCTGACAGATGAGTTTGGTAGCTTTCTAAGCCTGAAGAAACCTTCAAGATGACACTTTCCATGCTTGAGGAAAGTCGACATATGATTTTGGCGTTTTTCTATGATTGAAGAAATCCACCGATAATGCTTTCCATGCTTGAGGAAAGCCGACAAAGGAATTTGGCAGTTTACTATGCTTGAAGAAATCCACCGGATAATACTTTCCATGCTTGAGGAAAGTCGACAGATGAGTTTGTAAGTCTCTGTGTATCGAGAACCTTGCGTCATGAAATGAGGGTGGTTCGATTGTCCCCGAACGTGGGTTGTAGATGGTTCGCTTGTCCCCGGACGTGGGCTATAAATGGTCCGGTTGTCCCCGGACGTGGTCTGTAGATGGTCCGCTTGTCCCCAAATGTGGGCTGTAGATGGTCCGCTTTTCCCTGGACGTGGGCTGTAGATGGTCCGCTTGTCCCCGGACGTGGGCTGTAGATGGTCCGCTTGTCCCCGGACGTGGGCTGTAGATGGTCCGCTTGTCCCCGGACGTGGGTTGTAGTTGGTTCGCTTGTCCCCGAACGTGGGCTGTAGATGGTCCGCTTATCCCCGGACGTGGGTTGTAGTTGATTCGCTTGTCCCCGAACGTGGGCTGTAGATGAGACCTGCAAAAGTAAATTTGCCAATGGACTCGTATATATTGTGATTTACTTAACCGTTGACTTGACCAAGTTTGACTTGATGTGACATGACATGTGTATGACTTGTGAGTGTGTGTGTATATGTATGTGTGCAGACACAAGCAAACGAAGATGCAAAAGCAAAAGTTTTCCATCAATTTTTGTCATGAGTGGAGGGTACCAACTTTCTCCCGAAAAAGAAAGATGTGAGAACTGAACTTTTATTTTCGAACTTCCCTCGATGAGAAAATTTTGAAAAAGTTTTTGTAAACTTCCCCAAAAGAAAAGACGCGAAAAAAAAGAAAGAAGTTTTGAACTTCCTCGTTGAGCAAGACAAAATGAATCGCATGGATTGAATTGCTTTTCTTGAAAGTAATGTATGCATGATGCATGTCCTTAGGCCAGAAGGCTAAGGACAATTACATCATGTGACACGATGAATGAACTTAGGTCATGGAGCTAAGCATCATATATGGTGTAAAGAAACAATCTTGAACGTCACTTAGGTCTGGAAGCTAAGCACATATACAGATGAAGTGACTATTGCATAATGAACGTTGCTTAGGTCAAGGAGCTAAGCACGATATGCTTTGTATGATTAAAAATCATTGATATATAAATGTTTCTCAGCACATTATGCGATGCATGAAACAATGAATATTGCTCAGGTCAGGAAGCTAAGCAAGTATACAATGTTTCTTCTAATGAATGTTGTCTTTAAATATGATGAAACATGCACAGTGTTGAAATAAGATTTCATGATAAGGGCTCTTAAAGGGAAGAATGATTGATATGGATATGGATGTGTGAGTGAAGTGTGTGAATGTGATACTAAGGCTAGCTGCAAGGGTTATGGTGATGGAAATAGATGTGAGAAGAGTCAAAGATGATGACTCTTTAGGCTGGGTAGGCTAAATGATGTGGGTTCAAGCCCCCAAGTCTAGCTCTATATGGGTAGGGGTAAGCATTGGATATTCTTTGACTCGATCATGCATGGATATGAATATGAATGTGGCCGCACCTCGATATGAGGTTGCCTACGTATCCGTTAGGAATTAGGCCGAACGTAGCACTAACCAAACATTGCACAAGTGTATGTACACCTCAAAGAGGTCTTTCAAGTGTTATAATGTGGTTAAGTTGATGGTTTAAAGAAGAAAAGGGTATGAGGCTAAAGACCCGAGAGAATCCCCAAGATGTGTAATTGTGAATTGGACTTTGTAAGTTTTGTTTTCAACATTTCTTTTTGCTTTGACTTTTTTTTTTTTTTTGAATCAATGTGGGCAATCTCAGATCATGCGGTCCATCACTCACTTAGCATTCATGTTTCTCAGGCAGCACTTAGACATTGTTTTTTTTTTTTTTTTTTTTTGTATATATATATATATATATATATAGTCTTTGAATGTTATACAATTATTCATCTTCC